CTCAGGAAGAGCCACACTCAAGGGCCAAAGAGCCGCATGTGGCTCGCGAGCCGCAGTTTGCCGACCACGGCCTTAGGGCCTCAGGGATGGTCCGCCTGACCGTGTTATCAGGGGTGAATGTACAGCACTGGCCCCAACATTACACATATTCCCCCCTTTCCTGCCAGAATCCCAGCCAAGGCCAACCTGGTCGCTTTCCCTGGCTTTCTAATCACACATATGAGACCAGCTGTAAAACAGGGATTTCTCGTTGGGTAGCAGAATGGCGTCAATGACAAAAATAAGAGAGTAGGTAGCAGAGAATGAACAGAAAATAGAAAACCCAGGTGGAAAGGGGAGTTAAAGTTCCACTCTTATGAAAGTTCCCATTATTTTTCTGTTTTTCTAGCTGCAAAACAGGATAGAAATTATGTGGGGTAGCTACCGTGAGCTGTGACTGGAATTAAATCGGTTCAGTGTAGCACAACACCTGGGCAGTGTCTGCCAAGTGCCAGCTGGCACCACAGCGGAGAAGAGCTCATCCTCTCGCCCGGCCAGTATGCTCAGTGGTTGGGTGCCATCCTGTGCACCAAAAGGCTGCCCATTTGACTCCAGGTCAGAGCACATGCCGAGGTGCAGGCTTGATCCCTGGTAGGGGGCGTGCAAGAGGCAGATGATTGATGTTTCTCTCCCTCTCTCTCCCTTCTCTGGAAAAAAAAAATCAATTTAAAAAATCTAAAAAAAAAAAAAGTTCATCTTCTAGCTAGAGCTATACTACCTGACTTCAAGTTCCAGCTTTACCACTTAATGGCTGTGTGTTCTTGAGCAAGGTGCTTAACCTCTCTGTGCCTTATTTTCCCCAAGAGTAAAGTAGATAGCCCTGGCCAGTTTGGCTCAGTGGATAGAGCACCAGCCTGTGGACTGAAGGGTTCCAGGTTCAGTTCTGGTCAGGCACATGCCTGGGTTGTGGGCTCGATCCCTCGTAGGAGGCAGCCAATCAATGATTCTCTCTCATCCTCTCTCTCTCGTTCTCCCTTCCTCTCTTATATGTTCTTTGTAATCAACTGTGTGACATTGGTGAGACTTCCTTTATAGAGCTCTGGTATAAGCCAAGTCAAGATGGCTTGTCTCTCCATAAATTGACAGAAGAGTCATATGACTATGATGGGGAAAGTGCCAATTATGGTGATTTTTATATTAGAGTAGGTGAGAGAAGGGAACTCACCCAGTATTTTTACACCTGCCATGTGCCAAGCACTTTTTGAAACAATTTACTTCCTTTAGCCCATCGAATCCTCCAAAACTCCTATGCTGTCCACAGAATTATCCTCATTTTACAGAGGAGAACATTGAGCCTCAAGGAAGTAAAATAACTTGTCCAAGGTCACATAGCTGCTATGTGGTGGGGCAAGAAGGCAAAGGGTCTGCCCAAAGCAAACAAAAAAAGTCTTCCCAGAAGTTTTTATTTTTAAGTCCTAAGGAGAAATAATTTATCAATTCAGAGAAACACCCTTCCTCTAATGTACTTGAAAACAAAACAAAAAATAAGGGCCCTGAATTTGGACATGTGTTAGGTTTTGTCCGCTCATGGGTTATGTTCATCGAGCCGTTTTTGATGCTGAAAGCCTTTTCAGGCAGCAGAACTCTCAGAATAGGTTTATGAGGGCGCTGTTCACTCTGCTTCTCAGTCAAAAAGGCTAAGTTTACTAGTTAAAGCATTTCCCACTGGACAGAGCAGGAAGAAGCTGCAGGAGAGGGGCACTAGGACAGCGTTTCCTTTTTTAGCTTACTCTTACCAATAGGAGAGTGACAATGGCAACACTGAAGTGAGACCAGCTTTGGCGCTGCCCAAAAGGGTACGAGAAGTACCAGGTCTTCCAGACACTCTCAGGGATGCCAGGAATGGTCCAGACATCCCTTCCTCTCCCACAGCCACCAGGGGGCGCACTAAACTCTCACGTTTCTGTGGGGACTACTTTTCTGTGGGGAGTCAGTTTCTTAACCATTCGGAGCTTCAGCACCCTCATAGGAACTAAATGCAACAACAGGTGTAAGCTCTTGCCTCATGGTATGGCCCATAAATGATAGTTTCTCCCTTATCACTCACCCAAACAAACTAATACTGAAATAAAAAGAAGTTCATCTGGAAAGACCCAGCTGGCTCCTCAGGTAGTAGTTCTTCTGGGTTCCCAGCTGGTCCCCTTGTGACTCAGGGCCACTGTCTCTGGGGGGGAAAGAATTCTGGATCCCCACCTCCCCCAAATTGCTGACCTCATTCCACTGCTGATGCTCCACAACCTCACAGTTAGAGACGCTGCTTTGCAACTTTAGGGCAGACGGGTGGCTGGGGATTCCAGCTCTGACACATGGCGGCCCATACTTACAGTTCATCACTCAGACTCACCTGTGTGGAGCAGACGTCAGAGTGGACAGGTCACTAGTCTAGAAGCCAGGAGCCCTGGATTCCACACTCTCCTCCTCCATTGATCTCTTGAGTGGCCTTGAGTAAGTCACTTCCTCGCCCTGGGGCTTAGCTTCCCCATTGACAAAAGGAAATGTTGAATTAATTGTGAATCTGTGGAATCCCTTCCTGTTCTGTTGTTCTGTGATGATATTCCATTCCATCGGGGCCACGTGTGACTTAAGGGTGATGGATGGCATCCATTTTTTGCAAATTTTACGTTGCTATTAAAAAAACCTCAACTAATTATCCTGTTTTAAGCTGCTGCTAGCCCAGCTGGATAAATACTTGTTTTCCATTGGCTCACTGAATTTTTTGTTTCCAAGACCCTGTCAGACAAGTTAGGCTCGGTTTTTAATTTGGTTAAGGAAGCCAGTTACCCGAGAGAGATTAACCTTTATCCCCAAACTTGAGCTTCACATTTTATAAAAGCACAACTCACGAAATACATATTTATTTGTCTAATTACCTCAACCCCGCCCTCACCTGCTCACTGATCTTTTCCACTCTAAGATATGGGGTATGGAAGAAAAATGCCAAGTATGGTCCAGGCCCTTTACTGCCCTCTGGGAACCGTCACTCCTTTTCCAGACTCGCACCTCTGGTCACTGGATCACTGTGATCAGCTAGATTTTCCCAGCGATCACTGGGCAAGTTCAGTAGATCCAAGATTACTTGACATTTCCCCCCGTCTTTCAGCATTCTACCATAGCACTCTGAATGAGAGTGTTGCGGTGTCTGTGCAGGACAATGAGAGAGACGATAAAGGCTGGTTTGCAAGGTGTTTTTTCCAATTAAGGCTCTGTTTGCTTAGTTGTCAGGGTGGGACGGAAGCCTCTGTGTCCGTGGCAAGAATGGAGAGCTTGGTGAACTTGGCTAACTATGGGGATGCTGTAGGGTGGGGTAATAATCATATCTCTGGACCTCAGAGGAAACAGATAGTGAAGGACAGAATGAGAGATACTTGAGGGAATGGTCTTCCCTAGCCAGCTTTTGCCTTAATTTACCCTGTTTCTTTACTCTCTTTCTTTCTCTTATGACAAAGGGTATGTTTATGAATAAGTTTAGAACACCATAATTTCTAAAGCATTCACTTATTTTAATTCACACAACAGGCCTATGGGAACAGCTGTGGCAGACATTTGGAATGATGGACATTTTCTTGGTTCTTGCCCAAACACAAAGATGTCTTCTAGGGAGAGGCTGGACGTGCACCCCAACGAGCCCTCAGCAACATGGTATTTACCTGGTGCACAGACCATGGTTTAAGATCCAGTCTCAGGCCTTGTGGATCCAGAGAGGCACCTAGGACAGGACCTGCATTAACCACGCTCTCAGAGACTAAAATATAATAAAAAGCTGCATGTTCATGATGAATTTATAGTGAAAAATTCAGCTGTTGGGCAAACCAGAAGGCTTGAGTCAGCAGATAGGAATATTCTTTCTCAGTATGCTAATTATTTTGGAAACCAAATTATAATCAGAAGGGCAATTTATTCACTTAAAGTGAAAAACACAAATTTTAACTGAACCAGATGTTCATGCTAGCCAAGTCTCTCCTGACAGATAAACTACAAATTATTAGAAGATTGCTTAGGGAGTGGAGAATCAGAGAAAGGGGCATTTGACAATTTTAAGGTGTGTCTTTCAGCAGCTTGAGGCCACCCTGCACCCCATGGGAGGAATAGCCTTGCCAAGAAAACTGTAATGCTTACGTCTGCTGAGCTAAGCCTTCCTCTCCATGCAGTAGGCATGGACGGGCACTGCCAGTGCTGACCTTGGCGGCTCTCCGCTCTCATTGCTTCTGTTTCTCATGGTCCTTGTCCAAACAGGGCTACAATACAAATAATTAGCTTTCTGCTTACTTTCTGGGATTGCTCCCAAGTGATCTCAGTTGGAATTTTTGCAGTTCCAAAAACTCATTGGGTACACATTTAAAAAGAGTGTCTTCATCTCCTAGCACAGACGGCTCATCCAATTCATCCAATGGGTTTTACTAGTTTAGCTCTTGAAAATCTTGTTTTTTATTTCATGAGCAGCATTGTGCTTTCTATTTAAAAAGGTGTGTGTGTGTGTGTGTGTGTGTGTGTGTGTGTGTGTGTGTGAGAGAGAGAGAGAGAGAGAGAGAGAGAGAGAGAGAGAGAGAGAGAGAGAGACAAAATTAGAAATGGAGATTCAGAGGAGCTGAGTGTCTTGCCCTGAGTCACATAGCTGGTGATCGGTAGAGCTAGAACTCAAATCCAGATCTTCCCAGTTTAGATCCTGCTCCTGTTCCATTGAATGCAATTGAGTTTTCTACTGGTAGGAAGTTTCATTTTGAAGCAAGCAAGAAAAATCAATGTTCTGTTAAGAATTAGCTTTAAAAAATGTTAAGTGATATTTTTCTCTAAATGGTGGGGGTGGGCAGCAGCATAAAGTGTGCAGTTGAGGAGCTGAGAAGATATAAATAAAAAGGTCACTCAGATGTAGCCATCTGCTTCAGGGGACCATGAGGTCCAGCCATAGAGCATCCAACGACCTTGTCTGAGGCTACACAGTAAGTGGATGCGTTTTGTTGCAGAATCTGAGTGTATCAGAGGCAAGAGGAAAAATCCTCCACTATCAGGTGACTTTGCTGGAGGTGGCTGGGGAGAAAGCCACACTACAGAACATCACAGAACATACCTCCTGGACCTGGGTCATTCCCAGAACTGAGAACTGGGCTGTGGCTGTGTCTGCAGCTAACTCAAAAGGCAGTTCCCTGCCCACTCGTATTAACATAACAGACCTGTGTGGGACAGGTAAGTACCAACTTTTCTTTAATATTGCCTGTGGGAAACCATGTCTTACTCACCTCTTATCTTCCTCAGGCTCAGTTCAGGGCCTGGTGTGGGTAGCCCTGGAATTTAGACTTCTGAATCAACAGCTTTCAAAGGTTGTCTTTTTCACTTAGACTAGGAGTGGCCGTGGACAAGTGAGTTAACACTCTGGGCTTCAATTCCCCCGTCTTTAAAGTGGGGATTACATCATCCACTTTGCAGGTCATTGTAAGATTAAACACAGAGACTAGTACATAGCAGGTGCTTAATAAGTGTTAGTTAAGGAAATATTAGTTGCATTAAGTTGAACATGAATATCTGGCTAATTTTTCCAGAAGCAAGAATAATATAGGCTGTCAAATTCTAGAAGAAAATATTTTACCCCTATAATCAAAACATATTTTAAAACCAATCGTATTAAAATGAAATTCTGGCTGTAATGAAACTATAGTAAAAAAAAAATTTATGTTATAGTTCTTTATATCACAAATTTAGGTGTGATCCCAATGATCTAATTGAAAACCTCCCAACTAGCTATACACATTTCATAGTTGCATTCTCTGAAAACTAACTTCTTTGGGTAAAAACCTATAATTAGTATTAAAAAAAAAGGTAAAAAAAGAAAGAAAAAGAGGGGGGATAAAAAGGATGCTAATGCTATTTCTCAGGGCCTTTTTCCAAAACTGCCTGATAGAATAAAACTCTAATAAGATCCTTGCTTAAAATTCAATGTAACAATTTTATCTATATGTGAGTCTAGCAATCATCATTTTGAAGAAGGGTCTACCAAAACATGATTATTTTATGTATACTATTAAATCTGTGTTATATAACTTTTCAGTCACATACCTATAAATATAGAGACAATAGAGTAATAAAAATAAGTAGAAGAAAATACAAGTAAATATTGATAACCTTGGATTGGTATATGAGTTAGAAATTGCTCTTAGGAGTAAAGGGTTGCTCTTAGCAGAGGCCTGAGCACAGTGATTTATTTATTCTCACACATTAAAGAAGTCAGAAGTAGCCAGCCTTCTCCAGGACTGGTGTGGCAGCTTTGTGACATCATCAGGACTCCAGCCTCCTCCTTCTGTTCCTTCTGCCAAGTTGGCTTTCGTCCTCAAGATGGATGAACTCCTGAACTTCAAGACGGTTGCCCAGAGTTCTAGCCATTTCCATCCAGGCAGCAGGAGAGATGGAAGAGAGGAAGGCACACCCCTCTCCCTTGAGGAGCTTTGCCCCAAGTCACACACAACATACTTGCAGCCATTGACTCTAATTGGTCACCAGGCCACACCCAGCTCAGAGGAGGCTCAGAAGTGTATTTCAGGCCGCAGTGTTGCCTCGCTAAAGAAGATGAAGGCGGGTGGGTATTTGATAGGCCGATGGTAATCTTGCTCACGTGTATTAGGTACCTAAGGCAGAAACCTGATGGAAGAGATGGATTAACTATGGGGAAAAAAGCTTAAACTTTCTGCATAGTGAAATTTAAAAAGTTGAAAACACCAAAAATAAAACTTTAAAAATACGAGTAGCAATTTTTCTCAGAGTAACATAATAAAACCATGTTCCCATTTTCAGATCTAACAAATGTTAACAGTTGGCCAGATTTTCTTTTCTATTTTAAAAACATTATTTATTTATTTCAATTACAATTTACTTTCAATATTATTTTGTACTAGTTTCAGATGTATAAATAGAAACTTAAGAAAAGTATATATCACATTTTTTACAAAAAGAGGATTATCTGTCTAACTTTTTAAAAAATGTATTTTTATTGATTTCAGAAAGGAAGGGAGATGCAGAGAGAGACAAAAACATCAGTGATGAGAGGGAATCATTGATTGGCTGCCTTCTGCATGCTCAACACTGGGGATCGAGCTGAAACCCGGGCATAGGCCCTGACCAGGAATCCAACTGTGATCTCATGGTTCATAGGTTGAAGCTCAACCACTGAGTCATGCCAGCTGGGCCTATCCAACCTTTTAAAATAAGAAAGCAGGGATATGAACAAGCAACTCAAATAATAAATATAAAAAGAATAATAATGATATAAAAATATGTTCAGTCTAATTACTAATCAATGAGATGCAAATTTTAAAAAACCATGAGAAACCAAATCAGACTAAGAGTAAAAAATTAGTATAATCCACACTGGTGAATGATTAAAGTATTCTTGTACCCTGCTAGTGGGTGTGTACACTGGCATACCTTTCTTTCTAAAGAACAATTTGGCCAAATGTAATAAACTTTAAAGATAAACATATCTTTTGACCAAGAAATTTTAGCATTATAAATGTATCCTCAGCAAATAGTAAGTGCTTAAAATAAATAGGCAAAAATATGTTTGTTGAAAAAAAAAAATAGTGAAACAGTACAAATAACCTAAATGTAAAATAATAGAAAATGAACTGGGTTAATATATCCCGACTCTCACTGGCACTGATTTCATGCTAGCATTAAAGTGATGTTGTAGCTATGTTTTTATTGCCATGGAAAGATGCACATAATAAGTACAATGGTGGGCTTCCAATAGTGTATATGGGATAATGTCATTTAAAATATGTATTTACATGAATATACATTTTTCACAAGTTAAAAACATTTAGTGGGATATAATGGAAATGTTAATAGAGATCATCATTGCATCATGGGATTGCAGGTGATTTTTCTTCCCTTTTGCTTGTTATACTTTTTAATTTTTTTTCTTCGATGAGTAAGGACTACATATGTAACTTTTTAAAGTGAATTCTGTGGAAGAAGAGCTCATACCATTGTTTATATCCTGTTGTTGTTAAAATGCAGTATGTCAGAATACCTTACTTCTTCAGACCTCACTGCAGAGGAGCCTTGGGGTTATAAACCTCATGAATTTTCTGGGCCCATTCCAGACTCTTTATTTAGATTTGATAACAACTTCTCAAAATGACACATTCTTTATTTTAGAGTTGGCCTCTACTTTATTCATCCAGTAGTCCTTTATTGAGCATATACTATCTAAGTCAACTGGACTCCAGCAGTAGGTTAAAAGATAAGATCCTCCAGTTATATTTACTCAGGTGGAAGGGCAGACATATAAACGAGTGAACTGTAGTGCAGTATAGTAAGTGTGAGGCTAGTGGTATGCACAGGTAGCTCTAGGAACCGAGAAAAGCCCAAGTATGGGGCTTGGAGAGGAGGCAACATGGGAACAGGGTATGGAGAGACCACTTGGTACTAGCCAGGTGAAGGGATGCAGGTGTGCGGGCATGAGGGTTTGTTTTAAAGAGGGATCCGAATGAGCATATAAGTAAAAAACAATAACAAACAAACAAACAAACAAAAACAGAATCAGGGGTAGGGAAGAGTTGAAAATAAAGGGGATAATTGATGGAAGGAAGACCCTGGGAGCTGGAAGTTGATGGAACCCAGTAACAAAAGCAGTTAAAGGAACATTACTTCCTCTCAGAATGGACAGGTGTTAAATAAGGATGAGGCTCAGTAAAGATGAGCATGCCGAGAAGGTAAGGAATGACACTGAAGTAGTTCTCTACAACTGAGCTGTCTCTAAGAAGGTCTCAGAAGGTGGAAACCTTGGATTCTCAAGAGTCTTTACCACTCCTAAGACCACACCTGACCCTTCAATGCAAAGTTGTGCATCTCAGAGTGGCCAGAGGACAGATTGGCAAATTACGTAATCCCATTCTTGATGGCTCTTGTCTCACACATATTCTGAATAATCTGTAGAAATATTGTACCATAATTTTGTGTGTCCCTCTCGTTCAGAATGTGTTCACACTACTCACAATAGGTAGAATTATGTTGATTTTGAGAAAAGTAGGGACAATTTTATTATCAAAGGCACCTGCCATCGCATTGCATATCAAGAAGCACTAGAACATTTTTGTTGATTTATCATGAAAATTGAATGTGTGCCAAACCCACAGTCAACAAGTAAAACATATTTCACACCAGTCCTTGTGCTCAAGAATTATTGAAACTTTGGGAAGAATCAAAAGCCAGTAGAGTCATAAACAGGCTCATACAGCTGTCAAAGACTTAGGCCCCAGGAGGGGAAGTAATTAAGCCAAGATCATCCAATTAGTGGCAGAGCTGGACAGAAAAACCAGGCCACCTGTCTCTTTCCAAATATCTCATGAACTTCATAACTCTATTCGGAAGCTCTCAGTGGAAATGGGGATGGGAAGTTGAATGATTGAGGCTAAAGGAATAGTGTGAAGGGTCACAGAGAGGAAGTGAGGTGTGAGGCAAGATCTGAAGGAGAGAACAAGCCCTGGCAGCCCTCAGCGGGAGGACATCCAGGCTGGTTCCTGGCAAGTGTAGTGACTCAGAGGCAGGGCAATGCCAAGTTGATTTTTTTAGCTAATTCCAGAGAAAACAGTGGTCAGAAAGGCTCTGGCTGTGTTAGCCCATCACTGGCAAAGGGTCTTGTGAACCATAGGTGCTCAATAAATATTTACTGAATGAATGCATTTCATTAAAAAAAAAAAATTCCTGGCATAGGAAGTCAGATACGAAGGCAAGTGAAGATAAAGGAACCACAGCTGCGGAATTCCAGCTTGTAGAATTATGCAGGTTACAGGCTCTAACTACCACGCCCAGCCCTGAGGGTGCCAGGGGAGGCAGAGGCTGTGCGAAGGGGAATAGTGATGAAGGGAAGGGCGGAGGCAGCGCTGGAGGAAGCACTCCTTTTTCTTGCCGGTGTTGTTCTGAGATGATCATCGCCTGGGCATTTCTACTATAGGGCAGGGAAGTCCTGAGAGCAGGGCAGAGTGTCTTGTAAGGAGCCCTGGAACCTAGCCGGGGAGAGGAGTTGAGAGCAGAGAGTGCCTGTGAGCTGGCTGGCTCCTGAGATTTCTGGTGCCATCCACCCTGTGGGCCTGGCAGTTAAGAGAATCAGAGCCCCACTCCCCCATAAAGGGAAGTGCCAGACATAAAAGCACAGGTAAGTTCTGGAGGTGCCAGGGACACCTGAGGGGGGCCTGTGGACAGGTAGAGCTCAGTTGGCATCACTACAGGCCCTCTGACCTCGAGCTCTCCACCCTGAAAAGCTCCTCCTTCTTACCTACACTTACCTGTAGGAGCAGGAGCTACAGCTAAGCTTTCACTCCTCCTCCTACAGGAAGATGAAGGTCAAGGCTGTTGATCAATCCAAGAAAAATAAATCATGATCCCAAAGGAGAAAATTAGGAGAAATTGGAGGGGCACACGTTTGGGCGGGGGGGGGGGGGGATAGGGGAGGGGAGAAGGCAACAAATAGAACAACTTGTGCCATAGGAAATATAACGAATGCACCAGAAAGAACAAGAGTTTAGAATAAGCATAATAAGTGTCCTCAGGCAGGAAGAGAAGAGAGAATGATAGGAACAGGTGGTTGTGAAGAAGCCTGCAATAAAGAGGTTCGGAATGGAAAGTCTAATTGCTGAAATAAAGAGCTCAGCCAATGGGTTGAAGAGCAAAAAGGGCTCATTGGGAGACGAGCGAGTGAGTGGAAGATTGGGTAAGAAACTCTTCCAAAAGGCATCGGAAACGGGAAAGAAGATGAAAAACAAACAAACTTAAAACACTGAGAGCATTGAAAGGGAAATAGGATGACTGCCTAAAAGGAGTCCCAGTGAGAGAGAAAGTAAGTGAAAGGGAAAAAATTATTGAAAGTATTTATCAAGAATTTTACTGTAGCCCTAACGGGTTTGGCTCAGTGGATAGAACGTCGGCCTGCAGACTGAAGGGTCCCGAGTTCAATTCCAGCCAAGGGCATGTACTTTGGTTGCGGGTACATCCCCAGTAGGAGGTGTGCAGGAGGCAGCTGATCAATGTTTCTCTCTCATCGATGTTTCTAACTCTCTATCCCTCTCCCTTCCTCTCTATAAAAAATCAATAAAATATATATTTTCTAAAAAAGAATCTTACTGTATACTGATATGTACCACTCTGGTGCAGGATGTCGGTAGTAGGGGACGCTCTGTATGAGGGGCACTTGGAAAATCTCTGTACCTTCTGCTCATTTTGCTACAAACTTAAAACTCCTCTAAAAAATAGTCTATACTGTTAAGTGTCTGCAAAATGTAGTGCAGGATGACCAAGCAAGGTTAATCCTAGGAATCTAAAGATGGAGGAGTATCAGAAAAATGTATCAATGTAATTCATCACATTAATACTGAGAGAGAGAGAAAAAAGAGATATGTTCTTCCCAGATATAGAAAAGCATTTAGTTAGAAAAAGGTTTTAGTAATATATTATTTTTTAAAACCTATAGAGAAACTATGAATAAAATAAAACTTTCAGTGTTGTAAGACTTTCAACAAAAACATGCAGTAGTAAATATCATCTTAATAAAGATATGTAGGCACCTTCTCTTTAAAGTTAGCAACAACATAAAAACCAAAAAAATGAAATAAAAGATTTAATTTAAAGATTGGAAGGAAGAGATATTTTAAGTATGCAGCTAGTAAGATTATTATATGAAAAATTCAACATGGGCAATAGATAAATTATTAGAACTAATTAGAGAGTTTAGCAAATTTGTCAGAAATAAGAATAACACACACAAATTAATAGTAGAAAATAAGATGTCATTTACATAGCAAACTAAAAGTATCAAATGTCTAGGAATTAAACTAACAAAGAATCCATGAAAACTTTAAGGAGGACTTTTTAAAACTCCATTAAAAGATGTCAAAGGAGAGCTGAGTAATCTTCTAATGGAACGATTTAACATTGTAACAGCATCCGTTTTCCCTGAATTAAACTATATATTTAACTTAATTCCAGTAAAAACTACCAGCTGGAATTTTGGGGGACCCTAATAAAAGGAAGAATAACGTTTTATGTATAACCAAGAGTATTTTGGAAAAAGAACAGCAAAAGGAAGAGGGGAGTTTACCAACCAAATAGTCAGACATCACAAAGCCTGGTAATGAGAACAGTGTGTTCTGGTGACGAAGCTGACTAGACCCAGACCTAGTCATATATAGAACTTTTTGTATGTTAGGGATGGTGTCACATTTGAAAAAACTTACTGTGTGGGAAAAATAATAAAATTTAAAAAAATAATGATAATAATAAAATTTATTCCCTTAAAAGAAAAACTTTCAGCTAGATTTGGATAAAAAACAAACAAACTTGAGTGTTAAACGTAAAACCAAAAGTCAATAGGAGAAAATGTGGTTGAGTATTTTCATGACCCCTGGATGGAAGGATTTCATAAACAAGACTCAAAATGCACAAACCATACATAGGTTTACCTACAGCAAAGTAAGTATTCATGGGCAACAAACACATCATAAAGGTATCAGAGTCGAAAGACGAGAGTAAGATATTTTTAGAGTTGAAAACTGACAAGTGATTAAGATCTAGACTATGAAAGCTATTTCTGCAAATCAGACACAAGACAGGAAACTCAGAAAAAATTAGCAAAGTATATGAACAGGCAGTTCACATACGGGGAAAAAGTCAGATGCTTAGTAACATATGAAGAGAAGCTCAGTCTCATGAGAAACCGGAAAATGAAAACAAAACCACAGTTAAGTACCACTTTACACGTGCCAGACTGGCAAAAGTTAGGAAGCCAGAAAATACCAAGTGTGGACAGGCGGGGAAATGAGATCTCTCAAGCTTTTCTTTTTGGAGTGTCAACTGATTGGCTATTTTAGAGACCATTCTGGCCATCTTTATAAAGGGTGTCCCAAAATTCACGCAAGAAGTAATTTTGATAGAAAACACAGGTTTATAATTAAAAATTGTAATTTTTTTATTGATTCATAAAGTACACAGTATAGGGTTATATATGGAATAGCATATCGGGTAAATGGCCTCCACAGCTTTGCTGGCACATATGCACTCTTTTTTTTTTTTTTTTTTTAATATATTTTATTGATTTTTTACAGAGAGGAAGGGAGAGAGATAGAGAGTTAGAAACATCGATGAGAGAGAAACATCGATCAGCTGCCTCCTGCACATCTCCTACTGGGGATGTGCCCGCAACCCAGGTACATGCCCTTGACCGGAATCGAACCTGGGACCTTTCAGTCCGCAGGCCGACGCTCTATCCACTGAGCCAAACCGGTTTCGGCCATACGCACTCTTTTGTTGAAATTTTCCATGACCGTTTTTGCATAAATGTGGCTAAATTTCGATGAGGCTCATTTTCATCTTGATAGCTTGGTTAATCAACAAAATTGTCGCATTTGGGGTTCAGAAAATCCATGAGTGATTGTTGAGAAACAAATGCATCCACAACGTGTCACTGTTTGGTGCGGCTTTTGAGCTGTAGGCATCATCGGACCATTCTTCTTCGAAAATGCGCTGCTCAGGCAATAACAAAATGTTGTATGGGGTGGGGGGAGGGGTAGTTAGAAAAAACATTAGATTTACTCCCAACACAGTTCATGAAATAGCAACTCACAAACACAAAGCAGCACTAATTTCCAAGGATCCATATATATCTGAAGAGACACTTATATAAGCTGGATTAGAAGGATTCCTATTACATTCACTAGAGCAGGTACCATTGGGGACACAAAATGAAAAGTGAAGTGAAATATGAAGGGGAAATAATTCTATAAATAACTCTACACAGGGTCCTTGTCCAAGCTGTTGATGCCAGATCTCCACGAATTGAGAAGTACCATGAACTTAAATCTGTGAACCTGAAGACCTTAAAAAGAAATCAGTTCTTCTAAAACTTTGCTAGGATGAGTTGTTATGTTTTATATCTTTAACCACAGTGATTTTTGTTTTTGTCCCTCCCCACTTTCCCCATAAAGGGTTGCTGGCTCCTGGCCAGGTCTCTGCAAACTCAGAGGGCATGGACAGCATTATGGTGATCTGGGAGCCCCCCGGGGAAGCCGCCTCTGCTGTCCAAGAGTACGTGGTGGAATGGAGGGAGCTCCATCCGGGGCGCGGCACGCGGCCCCCTCTGAACTGGCTACGGACTTCCCCCTACAACGTGTCTGCTTTGATTTCAGGTACTTGATTGTTCACCTGCCTTCAGGAGGGTTTCTAAATTCACATTTGTTTGAGGTAATTGCAGGTGAGAACCCAAAACCCTGCCCTTCAATTACGAGTGGCTACATGAGAATGTGGGACAGTGATCACCTAGGGTCCTTCAGGACAGCACCCCAGAATACACCACAGCAGCTATAGAAGGCCAACCAACTGGTCGCCTAAAAGCTCTAGTATCTATGGAAAACCCACGTGCCTGACACGGTGCCATATAAGTGAATCAACCAAATGAGTGTGGCTGAGAGCTAAGTAGTAACCAGTCAGTGTGATGGGCAACTTACATTGGGGAGTTCATTTAAGTCTCAGAAATATCATGTGCAGCCCATTATATAGACCAGGATTCCAGGAAGTCTTTCATGCTCAGGTCTGCTGCCTATTTTTGTGATAATAAATTCAGAATTATCTATTTAATTGGTGTCTCTAATCCTCAAATTTTTCAAATCTGTCAGTGGTTACAATCAAGTGAAAGAAAGCATCTGAAGGCATATTGAGATGGTTGGACAAAACTTAGGCAATGTCCTTTTTAAGTGTAAGTTTAAGTACTAGTTCTACAGCCAGACTATCTAAATTTGAGTCCTGGCCCTGCCCCTTTCTAGGTTGGATAATCTAGGGAAAATTAATTTCTCTGTGCCTTGGTTTGCTTATCTATAATATGGGGATATCAATATTATCTACCTCATTGGGTTATTGTGAGGATTAACTAAATTAATATAAAGAAAATGTTTGGAACAGTGCCTAGCATTTTTTAAGTGCTTGATAATTTAGCTAGCTAGCATTATTATTATTATTATTATTATTATTATTATTATCATTATTATTATTATTTTACAGAGCTAAGATTTTAATAGATTTTCAAGCTCTAAATCCCATAACACTTCCATCACATCCTGACAATCATTGCACCTGCCCAGGAGGACACACATGCACTGCTTAAGGCAAAAAAATTTACACAGATGAAATAAACAGAGCACACTGCGTGATAATACATGAGCTGGTCCTTACCTGGGTGCCCTTCTTTATAGTCTAGCTGCTCAGATTTTTAGTGAGTTGTGTTCAATTGTCATCACTACACGTAAACAGAATGCTGCCCAGTGAGCCACAGAAGGTGAGCAAGTCCCTGGGATTCTGGAACTTTTAATGTGGAAACTACTTAGCACATGGAAGAGAATTCTAAATGAGGGTGGAGTGGTTTGATGGCTGCTGCTGGCTTTGACATACATGAAAAGGAGGATGCATTCTTTACTGTTTTGGAGGGCAAAACGGAGGCCTCTGCATGGAAATTATAAGAAGGCAGATGCCCGCTCTCTTTTGAGAAGGAACTTTCCTTACTTGTTATGGTCTCTCGCAGGACAAGTGATTGTCCCTGGAGTTGTCGCAGTAGCACCAGTTTACGTTGAGGGCTGCTTTGCCTATCAAATCAGATGAAACAGTGCCTAGAGCAGGTGCTTAGTGAGCTCTGAAGTGCTGCAAAATTGCAAATGCTTATTGTCAACTGAATTAGGATTTACCCCTGCAGGATAGTTTAAATCATATAGTCCCTACAGTTCCTTCCTTTTATGATTCTACACAAATACCATAAAGTAGATGAAAAGAGAGAATGGTTTCCATATTTAGGAAACTAAAGTGTTTTTAAGCATTTTAGAAATATTCATTTGAATTAGATCCATGTCCTGGTTGGTAAAATAACTTTAATAATGGTTTTCTTGCTACTTGAAAACACTTGGTGAGCTATTAGTTTGTATTGCTGTTACGTTATGAAAATAAACTCTTAAAAAATTAAGTAATTCACACCACGAAATCAGAGGGGTCCTCTCTCCTCAGTGAGATGACTCATGGCCTTCGCATCCTCAGCTTCTGGCTGGGGCTCTTGTTTATAGTGGGCCTGAAGACAGTCCAGCTCCAGGACTGTAGGTCGGTGAGACTAGGCGAGGGATCGTCAGTCCCGCCCTGTCTGCATAAAGATGGTTCAGGCCATACAGAGCCACACCTTTTACAATAGGTGGCCATCGCCATGTCCAGAAAACCTTCCCTGATTCCTAGGCTATTTCGGGCCCCCCTTCTGCATGCTCCCTCATTCTTCCTCTAGGTCAGTGGTCGGCAAACTGCGGCTCGCGAGCCACATGCGGCTCTTTGGCCCCTTGAGTGTGGCTCTTCCACAAAACACCACGTGCAGGCGCGCACGTACAGTACGATTGAAACTTCATGGCCCATGTGCAGAAGTCGGTATTTTGTGGAAGAGCCACACTCAAGGGGCCAAAGAGCCACATGTGGCTCACGAGCCGCGGTTTGCCGAGCCGCAGTTTGCCGACCCCTGCCCCATACTTAATAGGGGAAATTAGCTTTCTGCAGAAAATCCACCTAAAAGAGTATTTATAAACATGGACACCAGGTATATAGGTGTGCTTGCCAGTATGAGGAAATGAGCTGGTAGTTGGGGCCAGGATGAAGAAATAAAAATCTTAACATTGTGGGGAGCAGGGCTAAGGAATTTTCGAGGTGGAAAGCAGACATGATTAAGGAGTGTTTGTATAAGATTTAGCCAGTTCAACGGGAGTCCTCAAGATCAGAACCAGGGAACTAGCTTGCTAGGCCTCCACGCTTCACGGAAAAGGAAATGTCACCTGAGCTAAGGAGCCACATTTTCTTCCCTCCTCCACTAAGGGTAGGCTCTTCGCAAGCAGCAGCCCACAGCTTCTGTAGAGCCATTCCCAAGGCTTCTGCCTTAAACACAGTTTGCATGGCAAAATGTAACAAAAGCATTTGCCGGCTGAGCTCATCTCGAAATCCCATGCCTCTGTGTGGCACCGTGGTTGGTTGGCACCTTCCTCGACGAGTAGCAGAGCAGCCAGGCACTAGCCACTCTGAAATGAAATGTGATTCCATTCTCCACGGTGCCCTTGGGGCTCCTGGGTCTGGATGCCACCCACATATAATCTTTGGATTACAGGGCTGAGCTGACTGTGTCCCTACCTCCATCTCACTTAGTTCATGAATACAAATGGGAGCTCACCCGTGGCTTAGTCTTTTCTCTTCATGGTCATTCTGACAGAACTGGGGGTGTGTTCGAGCTTTATATGCTGCGTATTTGCTGGAATATTTAAAGGACAGCGAGTTTTCTTATAAAACACACAGTTTAGTAAATTATTCAGTGGAATTCTTCTTCCCCAAACAGGAAATGTTAAATCCTAATCAATCGCCCATGGTAGGGGACCAGATCTACCTATGGCAGGGCTTTAAACAGTAGGGGAGAGAGCTCTGGTTTTGACCACATGATACTGTCGTTACCTAGTAGGGATTCTCTCTCTTTTTCCTTTAAATTTTAATGGGGAATTTAAAGATATGTCATGGGCAGTAATACGAGAGGGGCCTTTTTCTTTATAACAAGTAGAAATCATGGAAATAAGGAGCTTGGGCAGGAAAGAGCAACTTGCCAATAAACTTTGTAGCTGATAGAAAACTGCAAAGGGTGGCAGTTTAAAAGCTCCGAAGGTGTATTAACATTCCCGGGAATCTTCCAAATCTTCCACGCTGCAAAGCAACTGAGATCTAATTGGATCATGGTTCGGGCAGGTAGGAAAGGAGCAATGGGTCGGATTGCACTGAGTGTGCCCTGGTTAACCACACCCAAACGTGTCACCCCAAGCTCCCCAGTCAGATCCTGATAAGCGTCTGTGGAATTGAAGAGCCTTCCAGGTTCTATGCCTGAAACACCCAGCCTCACTTTTTGATAAATGGCAAATGATTTATTTGCAGAAGTCAGTTGTTTTTTTTCCGGAAGGAAAGTTTTGTTTCAAAAGCGGTCTGTGTGGTTATATTTAAATCCTGGTTGAGACTGGGCTAGCTTTTGTCTCCTTAATCACGATGACCCTCAAAAGAAACTCAGGTTTGCTTAGTTGTTCACTATGAGGTAAACTTTGGAGTTGGGAGCCGTGGCTTCTAGGAGGCGGTTCCATAGCAAATAGGAGGCTGAGATTTTGTAACAGGTCATTCCTTTACCCTTGAGCCATCTTCACACTAAGAAAAGGCAAGAAATGCCTTGAATGCGTCTGTACAGATATGGAGGCGGCTCCTTTAGTGACTCACAGGTGATACCGCCCCTGTGATAAGAGCTCTCTTTCCTTGCAGAGAACATAAAACCTCACATCTGCTATGAAATCCGCGTGCACGCACTGTCAGGGCACCGGGGAGGATGCCACTCCATCTGGGCTGACTCTGCGCACAAAGGTGAGTCTTGGGAACCTTTGGCAACGTTTTGCTTTAGTTTCATGATTTGGATTTAGAGGGGTGACGACGCCTCCTGTGCTCTACTTTACAGCACCACTGAGTGGCCCCCACATTAATGCCATCACAGAGGAAAAGGGGCGCATTTTAATGTCGTGGGACGAAATTCCAGCCCAGGAACAAATGGGCTGCATCCTCCATTACAGGATATACTGGAAGGAACAGAGCTCCACTTCCCAACCTCGATTTTGTGGTACGTGTGAAAAAAGAATGCTGCAGGGCCTTCCTTGTTCAGATGCCAGGAGAACACAAGCACATGCATGTGCATACATACACAAAGTGCTAGTACCGTGCCTGGCACTTAGTAGATGCTCAATAAATATTGTGAAATTAACTGAAGGAAGGAAAAGACATCTAAACTTATAAGCACAGTTACTGGATATATGTTACTGGATATATGTTATGTGCCAAGCAAATTAAAGAAATGAAGATGATAGACCAGGCTCTCAAGGAGCTTATTCACATGGGGAGGTAGCATTTCAAAAAGCAATAAAGACACTTTAGTACTATTATATAGACCCTTAAGGTTTACAGGGAATGCATTTGGAGAACTTTTTGAGTTCCCATATTTGCAAATACCATTATAGCATACTATTTTATTCTCAAAATGGGTGAATTACAACTTAATTCCTTATGACCTATAATCTATCCTATCTAATAAAAGAGAAACATGGTAATTAGCGTATGACCACTACAGTTCCCATTGGCTAATCAGGGCAATATGCAAATTAACTGCCAGCCAAGATGGCAGCCGGCAGCCAGGCAGCTTAAAGCGAACATGAGGCTTGCTTGCTTCAGTGACAGAGGACTCCCACGTTCCCCGCCTGCCGCTGTAGGCCTCTGAGCTGCAACTCTAAGCAACTATGTTACAAATATAGAAGCTAAACAAAACCTCAGAAACCTGCTTTAGTCCGCTGGGCTTCAGCCAGCAGGATCGCAACATTGTTTCAAATACAGAAGGTAAACAAAGGCCAGAAACCTGCTTTCAGCAGCGGAGGCCTAAGAGCTGGAGCCAAGCCTCAAAGCTAAAGCTGGCCCAGAATAAAAAAAAAGAAAAGAAAAAAAGGAGTGGTTGGGAGCTTCAGTCACCCGCCAGCCTGAAAACAGCCATCAGCCCCTCACCCAGGCTGGCCAGGCACCCCAGTGGGGACCCCCTGATCCAGGACACCCTTCAGGGCAAACCAGCCAGCCCCCACCCGTGCACCAGGCCTCTATCCTATATAGTAAAAGGGTAATATGCCTCCCGGCACCAGGATCAGTGTGACAGAGGGCAGCGCCCAAACCCCCTGATCGCCCTGCAGCTCTGTGTGTGACAGGGGGCAGGGCCAGAACCTCCCTATCCGCCCTGCTCTGTTTGTGACAGGGGAAGGTGCCCCAACCCCCTGATCAGCCCTGCTCTGTGCCTGATAGGGGGGAGCTCCCCAACCCCCTGATTGCCCTGCAACTCTGTGTGTGACAGGGTGTGGCGCCCCAACCCCCTGATCGGCCCTGCTCTGTGTGTGATGGGGTAGAGCCATAACCTCCCCATCGGCCCTGCCCTGAGTGTGAGAATGGCGGCGCCCCAACCCCCTGATCGGCCCTGCTCTATGGGTGATGGAGGGTGGCGCCCCAACCCCCTGATCCGCCCTGCTCTGTGTGTGACAGGGGACAGGGCCCCAACCCCCTGATTGACCCTGCTCTGTGCGTGACAGGGTACGGAGCCCCAACCCCCCTGATGGGCCTTGCTCTGTACGTGACAGGGGGCAGTGCCCCAACCCCCTGATTGGCCCTGCTCTGTGCGTGACAGGGGGTGGCGCCGCAACCTCCCCATTGACCCTGCCTTGAGTGTGACAGGGGGCGGTGCCCCAACCCCCCAATCGGCCCTACCCTGAGCGTGACTGAGGGTGGCATCACAACCTCCTGATCTGCCCTGCTCTGTGCATGACAGGGGGCGGCGCCCCAACTCCCCAATCGGCCCTGCTCTGAGCCCGACCAGGGGCTGCACCTAGGGATTGAGCCTGCCCTCTGCCACCCAGGAGCAGGCCTAAACCAGCAGGTCGTTATCTCCCGAGGGGTCCCAGACTGCGAGAGGGCACAGGCCGGGCTGAGGGACCCCCCCTCCCCCCCGAGTGCACAAATTTTTGTGCACTGGGCCTCTAGTATATATATAAAAGGCTAATATGCTAAGTGTCTGACCCTCCGACTGGTCGCTATGATGCGCACTGACCACCAGGGGGCAGATGCTCAATGCAGGAGCTGCTGTGATGCGCACTGGCCATTTACAGAGAAATGGCACCACGGACCTGGCACTGACAAAACAACACTCGGCTTCCCCCAAGTGGGACACAGGCCCTGCCACCACCCCGGATCGACAGCCCACCAAATTGCAGCTGACACTGCTGAGACCCCATGGTGCAAAATGCGGCCCACAGCCCAGCTCAGCCTGGAAACAGTGGCTGTGGGTGCCGGGTAATGACATCACGTAGCAATGGCCAGCTACGTCTCCCTAGCGACTAGCCTCCTGGGAATTTCTTCAGCCCAGGAACCCAACTTGCTTTATAGCCAGGTGCAAACATTTTATAGTAGAAGTCCTGGAGTAGGTAGCTAGGAGACCTGGTGGAATCCTATTTTCTTTTCATGAGCCAGAAAATGGAGATTTACAAAGTTTAGAAACTTGACCTAACTGAAAAGAGGAAATGGTAGAACTTGAAAATGATTTCAGGGTTTCTCACTGTGCAGAATATAGTCAAACACTGCTATAGTTAAATATTTTACCCTTTGTTCTCCCTGCATGATCTACAATAATAGTCTGCTTCATGTTGATATTTACTGCTGTGTTGCTGACAATTACCTGAAAGAGAAGTTGAAGTGCTTCACTGGGCTGGAAAAAGTTTTCAGACATGGTCAGTTGTATGTTGCGTTCTCTTGAGACCAAAGAGCATGTGATGTTAAAGTTAAAGTTGTAAATACTTCATCACAAGGGAAATTAGTCAAGTACTCTGAAAGTGTTTTTACTCTTAATGTGGTATACAGGGAGATATTAGAATAAGTTTAATCAATTTATCAGTCATTGTTTTTATCAATGTTGTTTTTATATCATGTTTTTGTTTTCATGTCTTTATTGTTATATCATGTTATTATTTATTTCTTAATCAATTTATATATTATTTTCATGTACATTTTACTAATTCTTTTCACCTCTGACACTTCTATTATAGAGAAAGGGTGAATAGTGATATTAAAATATTTCTTCTAATTAATTTCCTTTCAATGTGCACTAATCTGTGCACTGGGCCACTAGTTATTCTATAAGACTAAAGCAATTAAAATAAATTCTGGCTGGAGTATAATCTTGAGTGACTTCATGGATCACTTATTTATAGCAGCTCCAAGGCACCTGCCAGACTTGATGTTCTAATTTTGATTTATTCTGGCTTGCCCTTCTCCTTATTTCAAAGGCAGCTTTCTTTCAGGAGAATTTATCATAAAGAAGCAACTTTTTTGTTCATTCATGAGAACTAGTCGGTCCACGAAGAATGTAACAGAGCCACCCTGAGATGTGGGTGCCAGGGTGCTGCCTGCAGGAGGGATTTTTACCTGGGAAACTTGAGCCGTCGGTCCTCTCTCTTGACTTTTCAAGACCTGGTGTTGCTTTTCTGAGTTAGGACTTTTGAAGCTAGTTAATTTTTATTATATAAGTAATACTTGCAAGTGATAAAAACATTTAAGTAGTTCAGTAAGACATAAAGTCAAAATTATCCCTTTCTTTATAAACTATTAGCAGTTCTTTGTATGCTCATCCAGAAAAAATTTTAAGCCTATCTATATATATAAAAGGCTAATATGCAAAGTGTCCCCTCGGGAGTTTGACCGGGAGAATGGGAGTTCGATCGCTCGCTATGATGTGTGCTGACCTCCGGGGGTGGCATGGAACATGGTGGGCGACCAGCAGCGGTGGGGCACTGAGGGAGCAAGGAAAGGAGGAGGCAGGGAGGCGGGGAACCTGATCAGCCCTGATGACCCGCCAGGCCTAAGGACCCTACCCATGCATGAATTTCGTGCACCCGGCCTCTAGTGTTTTGAATAATCATCTGTATTCTGATCTTTTTTGTTTGTTTTCATCTTTATTGTGGAAAGTATTACATACGTCCTCCTCCCCACCCCCCATTATCCTCTTCTAACCCACCCCCTATATTCTGATTTTCATTTTGCTTTTACTTCTCAATAATAAATACTGGAGATCTTTCCACATCAGTCCAGATGGATTTGCTTCATTCTTTTTAATAGCCCTCTAGTATACCACTATAAGACTTTACAGTCATTCACTTAACTAACCCACCATTGATAAACAGGATGTAGCATTGAACAGAACTACTTTCCACTGGGCCAGCCAGGGTCAGTTCTGAAAAACACCCCAGAACAGTGATGGCGAACCTATGACACGCATGTCAGAGGTGACACGGGAACTTATTTTTTTGGTTGATTTTTTTTTGTTAAATGGCATTTAAGTATATAAAATAAATATCAAAAATATAAGTCTTTGTTTTGCTATAGTTGCAAATATCAAAAAATTTCTACATGTGACACGGCACCAGAGTTAAGTTAGGGTTTTTCAAAATGCTGACACGCCGAGCTCAAAAGGTTCGCCATCACCACCCCAGAAGGTGATGAATCAATTGACCTCCTCCTGAGCCATTTTTAAAAATATATATTTTATTGATTTTTTTACAGAGAGGAAGGGAGAGGGATCGAGAGTTAGAAACACCGATGAGAGAGTGACATCGATTAGCTGCCTCCTGCACACCCCCTACTAGGGATGTGCCCACAACCAAGGTACATGCCCTTGACCGGAATTGAACCTGGGACCCTTCAGTCCACAGGCCGACTCTCTATCCACTGAGCCAAACCAGTCAGGGCCTCCTGAGCCATTCTGAACTCTTCATGTGGAAATTGCTCCCCTCCACCTTCCAATTTTCATTTTGGCAGAGTTTAAACCGAGAGGCCTATTTACAACCAGACATATGCATGGTCATTTGGTTCATAAAGCTGCTGTTGTAGATGTAGAAGAAAATACCTACTTTATTTTGCCACAAATCTGATGACTCTAAAGTCTATATAAGGGTATTTAAAAATACATCAAAAGGGAAGGAGGCCCAGATTCAAAGTCCTGTTTTATACCTGTTTAGGTTATACTAGTATTCCTTTTATTCATGAAGCACATATTGATGAGTAAGACCCATTCCCTGTCTCACAGAGTTCACAGTCTATTGAAGGAGATGGAAAAGCACACACAAAAAAATGATGTAACTGCTATGATCAGGGACTGACAACTGTCTATTGCAGGGGTCCTCAAACTTTTTAAACAGGGGTCCAGTTCACTGTCCCTCAGACCGTTGGAGGGTCGGATTATAGTTTAAAAAAAAAACTATGAACAAATTCCTATGCACACTGCACATATCTTATTTTGAAGTAAAAAAACAAAACGGGAACAAATACAATATTTGTATTTGTATGTGGCCCATGGGCCATAGTTTGAGGACCCCTGGTCTATTGCATTTGATAACCAGAAATCACAGGTGAATTCACAAGTGCAGCTTCTAGAGAGTGACAGAAGGCAGGAGGATGAAGGAAAAAGACACCAGGATGGAGGCACCACAACAGCAAGAGCAGGATGGAGACCGAGGGGGAGGGCGCTGTCTAATGTGTCTTGTGGCGCTGCCCACCACGCCCCAGACTGACAGACATGCAGGGTGCGGTCGGAGCACTGAGCCCTGCTGGGCAGGAGAGGAGAGGTGTGGACCTGGGCTGGGCCCCGGCATCTGCATGTTAGTGCAATCCCAGTGGAATATGGTGCGAGACTTCTCCTCGGGAAGTTGGTTGGTACCGCCATGTGCACCAGTGGCAGGTGCTCTTCTGTACTGGTGCACACACTATGCTTTGTTCTACTTGGTTATTTTTGCCCACAGACCCTAAGCATCATGAGGGCAGACACCATGGCTGTTTGCTTACCATTGTCTCCCCTGTTCTTACAAGACAGCCAGGCACACAGTAGGTGCTTAATAAAAACAGTATTTGTTGAATAACAAATGGGTGATCACCACCCTCCATGTTGTTAAATCAAGGTAGACCATTAGGGAAAAACTAATTTTCAGTAACAGTGCAGCTGTTTTGCCGGAGACCACTTGACCTTCTTACCCACTGCCTGTCAGATGATTGGCAACTATCACATCTTCCTAAACTGGTGCCTTTGTCTTTTAACCACCTGAGCTTAAAGTTTCAGAGGGCTAAGGATCTAATGGCCCTTTTATCTGTGCCTGAGATCACAGCCCAGACCCAGGCAGCAGAACCAGTATTTCCTGCATGATTTCTTTCTCCCATTACTCAACTCAACCTATTTTGCCAACCAAACTGCTAACACCATCCTCCTCCTTACTACTCCCCCATAGTTTCCTATTTTTCAAATATATTTATTTTTTAAATATACGTGTGTGTGTGTGTGTGTGTGTGTGTGTGTGTGTATAAACCTTTTGGCCCAGCACACCATTCAAATTTCTTCTCTTATGTTCCGACATCTTATTTCACTCCCAGAGCCAGGGATGCCCTCACACAATCCAATGGTTGACTCACTGATGCTCGCTGACGCTTTGCTGCAGCAAGATGAGCAGAAGATTGCTTCAAAATTAATTTTTTAATCCCCTGACTTAGGAAGAAGGAAAGAGCTTTTTTAGTTTGATCTCAAAGCTTAAGTCTGTGCAAGCAATTTCATCAGGTTAGAGTAGGCTTGGGAATTTTCCACAGGGTACTTTTTCTCAACAGGATGTAAAATGCAGAAATTGCTCTGATAGTCACAGCTCTTAAATGATCTGCTCCAACCTCAGCCCTTTGGGTGGAGTGGATATAATATTAAAGGGCTCCATCTTGCTGGGCACCCACAGTGAGCAGGAGTGGGGAGTGTAAGGGGTCTGTTTTCCTCATTGATGGTAAACTCTTTGAGGCAGATACAATGCCTTTGTATACTTGGTGCCTTTTCCAGAGCAGATGTTCAGTACATATCTGTGACTGTTGAAATAATTTCAGCAAATAGGGTCATGTGACTTGTCCTGGGCTTTGTGAGTTAGTAAATGTGATGTTGAGGCACAAAGTGCTGAGTTCTAGTCACCAGCACAGGGGCAAGTCTGCTGAGCAAGCCAGCAGGCTGCTCCTGCTCAAGTTCTGCCCTTCATTGTATGTCCCCCCACCCTAATCCCACCCAGAAGATCGCTGGAAAAGACCGCCTATTTACTGAAGGCTACCTATAAACAGCCTCAGTGCATTGCTCAAAAACAAAATCTCCCCTGCTGAGAATCTGCAGGGGTGTGGAGAGCATAGGGAACTGATGATTTAGGCTTAAACTGCCAAAATAAATCTAATCTTAAATACCGCTGCGCTAGGTTTTAAATTTTACATCACATTGTAGCAGATCATCATATTAAGCCTACGAAGCCTACTCAGTGGAAAATCAAAATTAATAAATGTTGCTTAAATATCTGTTTCATTAATTGCTAAACTTAGCTTTCTGAAAGGTTAATTGAAAACAATTTGTATATTGAGTTTCTTTCTCAAAGATTCTCGAATATGCCTGGTAAATGCCAGAAACGTTACAGGACATAAAAGGAGTTAAGCACTATGGCTCAGTTGGTTGAGTGTCGTCCATGCACCGAGGTCGCTGGTTTGATTCCTGGTTGCAGGCTCCATCCCCAGTGGGGGCATGCAGGAGGCAGCAGATCAATGATTTTCTCTCTCTCTCTCTCAAGTCAATAAAAACACTTTTTTAAAAAATAGAAGTTAACTACAACTAAGTAATTTAAAAGACAAAACGATAAGAATTCTTTCAAAAGATTTTGCCCCAGAAAAAATAATTACTACTTCTAATATCCTGGAAAGTGAGACCTCCATAAATGACTGCATGTAGGGCCTACTAAAGTGTTAAGTACTAATTAATTAAGACTATTTTAAAACAGAAATGTGCTTTTCTCTTTCAAATTAAATGAAGCATTAACTAATGAGTAAAAGCCCATATTCAAATATTCCCTTTAATCTGTACCTTGCTTCCTTTATCTTCCTCTCAGAAATTCCCTATCGCATCTCTGAAAATTCACATCCAATAGACAGTCTGCAGCCCAGAGTGAGATATGTCCTGTGGATGACAGCTCTGACAGCAGCTGGCGAAAGCCCCCAAGGAAATGAGAGGGAATTTTGTCTGCAAGGTAAGAACAACTTCAGAGGTGGAGAGTCCACCCTGGGTTCCCACACAGGTGTACAGTCCCACGGCCTTTGGCATGGAGATTATCAGATTTTCTTTAAGTTGCTCATAGCTTTCTTACTGCTACACCTTTGCACTTGTTTCCTATAACTGGACTGCCCTACCATGCTATTGTCTGCTTGGAGACAGTGTCTACTCAATCTTCAAAACTCAGTGGAAATGTTTCCTCCTCCAGGTAGCCTTCCCAAATGCACCTCCTATTTCCCTTATAATGTACTATATTTGACCCATATTCAAACTCCAAATCCAATGGGCAGGGACTGGTATCTGTTTATCTCTATCTTCAAGGTCTAGAATGGTGCCCACCACCTCGTACTACTTGTTCACTAAATATCTGTTTAATGAATAATGAGAATAATCTCAACAATAGCAATAGCAGCTATTGCATATCAGATAGTTATGTACTAGTCATGTGTTAAGTGCTTTTACACCATATTAGTATGCTGGGGCTCCTGTAACAAAGCACCATAAATTGGGGGTTGCTTAGACAATAGAAATTTATTTTCTCTCATTTCTGGACGCTGGAGGTCCAAGATCAAGGTATCAGCAGAGTTCATTTCTTCTGAAGGCTATGAAAGAATCCGTTTTATGCCTCTCGCCTGGAGTCTGGAGGCAATCTTTGGCATTCCTTGGCTTGTGGATCTCTGCCTTCATCTTCACGTTGAGGTTTCCTTGTGTGTCTGTGTTCAAACTTTCCCTTTTTATAAGGACGCCTGTCATATTGGATTAGAGGCATCCCTACTGCAGTCTGACCTCATCTTAACTAATTACACCTGCAACAACCCTATTTCCGAACGAGGTCACTTTTTGAGGTACTGGAGATTAGGACTTCAACATATGAATATTTGGTGTGGGAGAACACAATTCAACCTACGTAGCACATACTTTTGCTCATTTAATCTTGACCACAACCATGTAAAGTGCCTGTTTTACATGATTATACCTGGTCACACTACCAGGCACTCAATATGAAATAAATAAAGGAATGAGGGATTAGGATGCCTTTTACAAATGTAAGGTACAGAAATATTACCCAAGGTCACAGAGGTGGTAAATGGCAGAACTACAAATCAAACTCAGATTTGAGTTACTTAAGGTTGAATATGTAAAGTGACCCAGCTATCCTGTGCTTCCACAAGCTAAGTTACATTGTTCTCTCTAGCATCACTAGTTTGCATTTGCCCCAAGAGTAAAACACACTGTTCTTGCTTTCTGACAGGGAGTATCCAGTTGGTTATTCAGGACTTTGTTGTTCTATGCCAGGTACTTCTCCACTGGGAAAATTAAAAACCCATCTTTTCATCTCCCAGTGACCCCCATGAAAGTTAACTGTGAGCAGTTAACTAGATGAAGAGCTCAGCATCATTCTACTTGTGGTGCTCCAGACCGTCCCATCTGCCCAGGAAGGAAGGCAGATGCTGAAGAAATGTCAGATTGGGCTGGTTGTATGGGGTGGTAACAAGGCTGCCTGTGATAACTCCCCCATTCAGCCCTGGTAATACACCTCTCTCACTGAACCTAGCAGGTCTCTGGTCCCTACTTCCCCTGCTCACTCTCCCTCCCAGCCTGTCCTTCATTCCATCAGAAGAATCTCTCTGCAAGACCCCTAGTGCTGACATTCCACCTCTTGCTGCAACCCATCAGTGGTTCCCCAAGGGCTGCAAGCTAGGATTCAAACTGTTCTGTTACCAGGACCTGCATGACTTGGTCCTACTCACTCATCTAGCTTCATCCTCTGCCTCATACTCATTTATACTCCAAAACAGGACCAGACAACCTTAGTCCCCTGAAAGTGCTAAGCTGTTTCATCCTCCCATGGCTTTGCATAGCTCTCGGTCTAGTCTGCGCTTCCCTAACTTGTCTGCTTAGCCAACTCCTGTCCATCCAACTCTGCACTTTTAACATCATGCCTTTTGGGAAACCATCCTGAGCTTCATGTAGACATCATCACTCACCTTTTATGGATCAAGAACCTGAAGTCCACAGATCACATATCAGTCAGTAGAAGATACAGTACTAGAATCCAGAACAGTTCACAGCCAGTGCATTGTATATCAAGCTCTTTCCCCCCACCCATAGAGGAAGGAGCCCTTGTAGGGCTGGAGCTCCTCCCAGAACTACAGCATTGGCTCCCTGAGGCCCCTCCACTTCAGTGATTCTCAACCTTCTGGCCCTTTAAATACAGTTTCTCATGTTGTGACCCACCCATAAAATTATTTTTGTTGCTACTTCATAACTGTAATGTTGCTACTGTTATGAATCGTAATGTAAATATCTGATATGCAGGATGGTCTTAGGCGAATCCTGTGAAAAGGTCGTTCGACTGCCAAAGGGGTCTCGACCCACAGGTTGAGAACTGCTGTGACTTAAATGAATGGACAAAATGACTCGGCCTATTCCTGGGCCCAGCTACCCAGGAGCTGTGGTAGGGCCGAGTTTCCACTGTAGAGAGTATTTTGAAATGTTCACTGAAGATAACTCAATCACAGGGTTTGCTATCTTTTCAGGTAAAGCCAATTGGAGCACATTTGTGGCACCGAGCATTTGCACTGCTATCATCATGGTGGGCATTTTCTCAATACGTTACTTCCGGCAAAAGTGAGTTGGGTACACCTGCCAGTTTTGGTAACTGTCTTTTTAAATGATAATTGTTATCATTGCTATGAGTCCAAGAAATGGACACTCTTATACATTGCTGATGGCAGACTAAATTTATTTCTTTTTGGATTGGCAATATATATTAAATTTTAAAAAAATGTTCTATCACTGACCTAGCAATTTCTAACTAGAAATTTATTCTAAGTATATCATAAGGGTATGCTAGAGTATTGTTCATAAAAGGAAAATAATTTGAAACATAAAGACCCAATGACCTGGGATTAACGAAATCATGATATATCTCATGCTATCTAGCAATATTATGTGTCCATTAAAGATGTAGAAGAAAATGAAATCATGAATATTTGCTGTATTTTAAAAGCAGCTTGCAAAAGATGTACTTCCATTTTTTAAAAGCATAGTACATACATACACACAAAATATTATCAGTTATCATTAAATTTGGTTGTATATAAGATAAAAATCCAAAATAATATGACAAACTAGCTAACAGCTTCTCACCCAGGTAAGGGAAATAAACTCAGGTCAAGGGTTGGTGAATAGTTCCAATGCATCTTTCTGCTCCATTATCCTGACATTGGCTTCCATCCATTTCACCTCATGGTCCAATGGCTACAGGAATGATAGCCATCATGCCTGCTTTCTACAACTACAGGGAAAAAGAAGGTGCCTACACTTCCCTTTTAAGAAGACTTTACATGAAAAAGTCACACGGGATACTTTTGGTTAGATTTCATTGGCCAGAACTTGGTGAGGCAGGGAGGTTTAGAATTGTGGCCTTACAGCTGGGTTCATGGTTGTCCCAATACATTAAGGTGTTCTTCCTAAGGCAGAGAGAAAAACAAGTATTGGGCAGCAATTAACACTCTCTGCCCCAAGAATATACACCAAAATATTAATGGTGGTTATATCAGGGAATAAAATCATATTAGGTGGTTTTAGTTCTTTTATTTAGCTATACTTTCTAAAATTTCTTTAAACATACTATTTTATTGAAAGAATTTTTAAGGAGGTAGTTACTCAATACAAAGCTTTCTTCAGATGTTGTATAACGTAAGAGAAGAGGTAAAAATAAAACTACCTCAAAGTCATTCTGCCAGCTATTGAACTTGTCTGAAAGGCTTTACATTTATTGAAACCCTGTATGTGATAGGTACTTCAAAGCAGAACTCTCTTTAGGTAGATTTTGAAAAAGTTTAACTAAAAAAGAGTTAACTAGGATCACATGTATCCTCTTTAGGGAAATAGTATCAGTGAGGGGCAAAGCTTCTGCTGTTTAAAAAATGAAGGAAGGAAGGAGGGAGGGAGGGAGGGAGGGAAGGAAGGAAGGACTTTTTCCCTCCTACATCATAAAGGTGATATAAAATCATTTAAAAATTTTTAAAAAAACCTAGAGATGTAGAAAAAAAGACCCATATTTCCTCTGATCACCAAACACAAGTACTCTTTTAACAGTTTGAATGTTTCTCTACGGTATTTTTCTTGGCATTGTTTTGCATGGTCTATGTTTAAGTTATTTATATCATTAGTATCCTGTTTGTTTTCTTACTTTTAGCATAATTTACTTGTCATTACAAACTCTTTATAAACATTGTAGTCTCATGATTAGAAAACTCCCAAGAGTAGGGACCATGCCTTCTTGTTTGCTGTCCTACCCCAGCACTGTGCTGGTCATACCTGAGGGAATGTTTGTTGAATAAGTGCATGGCTGCATAGTGACAGCTAAACATTACACTGAGCAAAAGTGCCATCATTTATTTAGCAAACCCCACGTGACTGCATTGTGACTCTATCACCTATCCAAACTTCACAAAAAACTAGTCCATCCTTAGATGATGCATCATCTTTCTCCTTCAGTGTTTACATTTCACTTATTTGCATACCCCTGCACTGAAATCACTGTGCTAAGAACCCGTGCTTCCATGTCACGTGTACTCACTCAACCTCATGTCAGTGTTTTCTGTATCTATAGGGTATTTGTTCTCCTGTCAGCCCTCAGACCTCAGTGGTGTAACAGAGAAATTCCAGACCCAGCGAACAGCACTTGGGCCAAGAACTATCTCATTATGGAGGTAAGGTATAAAGCCTCAGTGGTCAGTTGATGGGGTTCCAGACATGAGCATATCTAAGTTTCCCATTGTAGTTAGGAGGAAACCTGGGTACTTGGAACCCATGAATAAACTGAAGTCATTCACACTAGGTTACCATCTGAGTCATTACTGCCCTGACGGGAGTTTTCTGAAGGTTATGACCTCGACTCAGGCTCATCGCTTTTCACTCCTCTCTATGCCTATGTTCCCCTCCTCCACCTTAACTTACTTTAAAAGAAATTTAAAAAGCAAGTATTTTTAAATTTGCTTACCCCTAGCCTGACACTGACTCATTCAAATTTGAGATTTGAAGCTTTACCATGATGTTTGTTCCCAGCCCCGTCTGAGCATAGAACAGATAGAACCCAGACTATTTTGGTTTTAGCAGGAAGCCAGTAAGTCATCCCACTGTGTATGGAAAGGGTTTTAGAGGAGAGGTTGCTCAGCTGGCAGATGAGAGAGGAAGCAAAGGGAGGCGCTGCTGTGCAGTCTGAGGAGGTGAGAACAGCTCACAGTGGGCCAGATGGTCCATCTCTGGTGGAAGGTCTGGAAGCTTAAGACATCTGAATGTGGAGCAAGACTGTGCATTTATGGAAAGCAGAGGGGAGGAAAGCGGTATGCAAATATTCTTCCCAAGCCCAGGTTGTTGGCAGCCCCACACTCCCTTTCTCACACCTTATAGCCCTTCTCCTCCAAGATTCTTCTCTTCAGATGCCCAGTGTATTCTATTAACCACACCCTTCCTCAGGCCAGAAGCCAATGGTACAAGCCACTGCTTGGGGAAAGAGCTGGTCTCAGCCATGTCTGCCCCAATAGGATTTCAGTCCCTGCAGTTTAGTGCCTTTGAGATAAGGCTGGGATGCAACCCCCTCCTCTGCCCCTTACTATGTGGATAACCCTTGGGCAACTTGCCTAACATCTGAGCCCTAGTTTTACCCTCTGTGATGTAGGAATTGATGTAGTATCTCCCGTGTATACTGTTACGAGGATTAAGAAAAGTAAAGATTATTCTTAATGTAAAGCACATGGTTTAAACAAAACAAAGATCGATCACTTTCTTCCCAGGAAGACTCATACTTGATGTTTCTTCTGCCTGTTTAGGGGTTTTATCACTGTTAAGTTATCATAGCAAGAACAGTAATAATAGTAGCTTATGTATACTTTTAAATTTTATGTATATATTTTTCATATATTACATATCTGCATGATATATAATTATAGGGTATATAATTATATTGTTTATATACACACATATGTTACTTTACATATACCAGGCACTTTGAAAAAAACATTTTTCATGTGTTAACATATAATCCATACAATAGCTTTATGAAGGTGTGCTATTATCCTCATTTTTTAGATGAGGAAACTGAGGCACAGAGGACTAAGTAACTTGCCCAACGTTAGTCAGCTAGTAGATGGTGGATCCCAAGTCCACATAAGAGCAGGATGTGCCACCCACCACTATACCGTTCCTTCTGAAGGATCTGTAAGCACTGGGTACGAGGGGTCTTTCTCAAAGCCAGCGCCTCTGAGCCGAACAGATTGAGAGGCCCTCACTTAGCGGCAATACTGTGATGACCTGTGGCATGCACTCTGTAAGGATGCCGCTGCCAGCATTAGAGGGGATTCAAGGACTAGGAGCTGAACCAGCTTAGCTTTAAGATCACTTTCTTCCAATGCTGAGATACCACTGTCTCATCTCCTAAAAGCCTGGAATAGCATGGTGGGAAGCAGCTCCGGTCAGTCACCGACACCTGGCTTCCGAGCTGGTAGCTTTGGGGGTGTGGGCATGACAAGAGCCCATAAAAAGCATACAAGAAATGCTAAGAAAGACACACAAAGGGTTAGAGAAAATAACACAGAAAAAGGGTAACAGAAATTGCCACACACATACCCAAAGTCATATAGTATAAATATGTTCATTAGAGCACTATAAATAGAAGCCAAAAATTGGGCATAATGTAAGCTGCCACTAGGAGGACAGGTTGAATATTTTGAGTATATTCATACAGCAGGATATTATACAATTATTTTTTAAAAAAAGATATGTGTCTAAAAATCTCTAAGATATTTAAAAGTAAAAAAAAAAAGTTTGCAACAGTTTCTAAAGTGGGTTTTTATTTGCATAAAAAAGAGAGAGATTTTATACACACAGCCCTCCACACGCTCACAGATATTTCTGCAAGCCTACATGTAAAATTGCTAACTGGAGTGGCCTTTGGGGAAGGGGTTGGAGATATGAGGGCGACTTAATTTTCATCATAAGTTTGCTTTGAATTTTTAAAATTTCTTACAAAACTATATATCTTTTGTAAAAATAACTGGTAAATTAGAAAACTGTAAAAATTTAGCTTGGACATGGAATCTGTAATGAAGGCCTTGAGACAGCCTTAGACCCTGTGTCGCTTGACCTCTGAAGTGAGTAGTCTGGCGTTAAAGACCCAAACTGCTCTCCTGGTGACAGACCAAATCCAGACCAGATCACTCTGGCATTTGGCAGATTTGGCAGATGTCAGAACAACAATAGTCTTACAACTCCAACAAAACGTTTTCTGTTCTCAGGCCCTATGTGCCCCTACCATTTCTTAACATGTGGCTAAAAAAACATGTATCTTAAAGCTCTGGAGGAAAAAGCCAACCCATAAAGGGGATCACTGGAATGCTAATCCATTTTGAGCTTGTAAAATCTTAAAATAGTGTCCATGAGGCACAGGAGCTAATGGTGGTGTAAAAGGCCCTGCCCCAGGACTGTCCGCCACAGGGCCTGCTTTATCAAAGAAACAGCTCTATCAACACTGCCCAAGCTTTTAGGAAGGCAGGTGAACACCTCACCTTGTGATAGGAGCCATTTCCACACCCTGAGCCACCAGCCATGTTCCAAGCCACACCCACACACCAGCACCACTGTGGGCAGGTATCCAGAAAATAGAAACATACACATACCCTCCAGCTTGTGGGCCTTGGCAGAAGTCTGTCCTGAGACAGCACCATCGTTCACTTTTTAGAAACTTTTCATGCTCCAGGCAAGGCAAGGGACATCAGAGCCAATCCAGACCCAATCACTCTTGACATCTGACAGATGAGGGGATCAAAGGCCACAGAGGTTGTTTTCCCAAGCGGTAAGGTGTCAAGACTTGGGACTAGTCCTGAGGGTTTGCGCTGTCCCAAGGCTATCTTTTATCACCTTATGCCTCCCTTAAGACATGGTCCCTGTTTACAAATGGCTTTGACATGCTTAGACATGTTTCTAAAGAGTGACATTATAAAGCACCATGTGCCAATAACCTAACAAGAGGTTGCTTCCCTACTGTAGTTCAGTGGAGGCAGCAGTCATTAGGGGCTTCAAGAAAGGGGAATGTACCTGGCTGGTGTGGTTCTGTGGTTGAGCATCAACCTATGAACCAGCAGGTCACGGTTCGTTTCCTGGTTGCAGACTCGATCCCTGGTCGGGGGTGTGCAGGAGGCAGCTGATCAAGGATTCTCTCTCATCATTCATGTTTCCACCCCTCTCTCCCTATCCCTTCCTCTCTGAAATCAATAAAAACATTTGAAAAAAGAAAAACAGAAAGAGGAAGGTGTCAAGCAGGGGATGGTACCATAAACAGAAGCCGTTCGAGGTTGGCAGTGGAAGCAAAAGTGTGGCATAGAGAGAGAGAAAAAAACTGTGTTTAATAAGACTAGGATGGTGTGCCTGGAATAATTTCTGAACAAAAACATGGGGAGCGGAGGAAGGAATCTGATGGATAAGGTCAGGGCTGGAGCTTTACTCCATATGGAAGTCCAAGCCCTGAAAGGCTCCGGAGCTTTGCTTGATCAGTCAGCGTGAAGGTGGTTTCCAGGATGCAAGGAGAGCCCAATGAAGCCCCTTACAATAAATGCTAATAAAGTGCTGGGACTTGGAATCAGGGATCAGCAGCAAGTTTGGAAAGGAGAGATAAGACATTGAAGAGTTGGTAACCAATGTGCTGTTGAGAAGGTAAGCAAGAGAAAGTTAGTTACAGGGGGAAAAGAATGAAAATCTCTTCCAAAAGTTATTCTAGAAGGGTCATTCATTAGAGTAGAACTGATAAAGATATTACCTAAAACCTTTCAGTAGTTGTATCAAAACCCAAACTCCTTAGCATCCCTGAAAAGCCCTCTATGTGACCTCCTCCTAATTCTGAAGCCTCAGTTTGCCTGTCATAACAACTAGCAGGTTCCAGAATAGACCAGTCCTCTTGCTCACAACCTATCTGAAAAAATCCTCTGCTTCTCAGGATTCAGTTCTGGTCTGACCCTTTTGTAGTTTTCCCTGCCTCCTCCCCCAGACAGAGGCAAGCTCAGCCTTTCCTTTGCACGCAGTATGCCTCTATCCCAGAGGAAAAGCAGTGAGTGCAGTTTGACTCACCAGAAACAGTCTGGTTGAAGGTGGAGCAGGGCGGTGAATCACTTATTGGCTGGGGGTGGAGAGGACCCCAGGACTCCTGCTGTCTTCCTCCCTGACAATGTGAACTGCTTTCTTACCTCGCAAAGGGCCCGGTGTCCACCTTGAGCTGACTAGGTATTGCTGGCCGAGGCCTTTTGGAACCTGGAGAAGTCAGTTGTCCAGGCTACTCACTTAGCATAGCCCTGAGTTTCTTCCTCCCATCTCAGGAGGTGCAGCTGCCCGTGGAGAGGCTCCTGACAGATGGGCCCGCTCCGAAAGAACCCGAGCCCCTGGTCATCAGCGAAGTCTTGCATCAAGTGACCCCAGTCTTCAGACAGCTCCTTCGTGCCAACTGGCCAGAGAAGGGAAAAGGAGACCAAGGTCACTATACCTCTGAGGAAACAAGGTACAGTGCCTCGAGATTACCACCTCCAAGAGCTCTCACGGCAGAGACAGGGCAGCTAGTGGATCTGTACAAGGTGCTGGGGAGCAGGAGCCCCAACTCAAAGCCAGGAAACCCAGCAAGCCCCTCGCGGGTCCTCCCAGGGGACTACCTTCCCACCCAGGAGGGCTACTTACCCTCCAACATAGATTACCTCCCTGCACACGGGGCTCCTGGAACTGAGCCCCCGGAAGAACTGGAGCCTCAGCACATCTCCCTTTCTGTGTTCCCCTCAAGTACCCTGCAACCACTCCCCTTCTCCTGTGGTGAGAAGCTGACTTTGGATCGGTTAAAGATGGGGTGCGGTCCCCTCATGCTTTGAGTGAAGCTTGAAACTTGGAAAGTTGAAGTGCTCCCAACCAGCGCAGCAGGCCCATCGACCCAGCCCTCTGCTCACTGTCATCACCTCTGGTGCTACCATTAGGTCTGGTTGCAGCTAGAGGGCAGTCAAGCCGGCTCAGGGTGATCTCAGGAACTGCGAGTTGGCTGCAACCCAGATACTTCACCTTGCCTTCTCTGGAGGCTTGATATTACATCGTTCACTGCGTGGACCTACAGACTCCAGACTAAGTTCCCACAACTTCCTTGGCTTTGCTGCAGAGTGGAAACCAAAGCTCTTACTGGCAATGGCATATAGTCCTGAGGACTGTTCACACAACTGTTTAAAAATCAGCTACTACATACCAGGTCTTATGTCTCACCAGCCTAACTGCACTGTTCAGTACTGGCTGTTGACTCTTTGGGATGTGCCAAATATGACTGAAGAACTGAATTTTGGTTGTAATTATGTCACACATGGCTAATGGCTACTGTATTCAGCACAACTACAGATAATGGACACATTGGTGAGAAATACAGGGGGAGCCTTCAAAACAGATCAGCCTAGTTTTGCAATTGACATAAAAGACCCTGGTAAACACCAGTATAAAAGGATTTCCAAGATGGTTCTGACTGTCCTTATTTGTGGAGGCCTAAGAATGCATTTTTCCCCCTAGCTTTGCTAGTTTGGTTTGTTTTGCCTTCATCATGCAGTGAATCCAGAGCAGCCTGATGGTGGGAAAGCTAATGTACACCCACCTTAGGACCTGAGCAAACAGCCTCCCCTCTAACATCAGGTGTCTTAAAAGGGAGTGGGCTGCCACACTCCCGTCATCTTTCCTGCTTTCCTTTTTGGGAGAAACTGCACTGGTCCTCAGAGTTCTTTTCCTCAGCACAAATTCGGAACATGAGCCATACTTTACTGTTAGATCTGTGGCCCTGGCCTGTCACCTCCCCTTACCCATCACTGCCTCTATGCAGTCACTGTAGGCATTTCTATTAAGCTGGTGGTCCAATTGCTGATAGTAACTTTTAGGTCCAAGACTTCTTTTTCTTAAATCTCTGTCAAGCATGGGACCTACCTGCTACCCCCATCCCACCCATTGGAACTGAGGCATGTGTCCCTCAGAGCCTCAGCAATTGAAGTAACAAACACTGGTCTGTTTGTTCATGTTGTTAGACATGTCTAACTCTTCACCCATGCTCTTGCCATTCCAGACTTAACGTATTTTCTCCCAGGCTTTTCCTTCCTTACATCTCTGTTCAATTCTCTTTAGCCGCTGTGTGTAGTTCCTTGCATCTCAGCAGCTCCATAATTGGCTGGCTTGCACCCAGGATGTGGTGCCTCATTTGGCAATGGGCCAAGACAAGGATACCTCCTTCCTTACATGGCAGCCAATCTATCACCTCTTAACAATGGAAGCCAACTTTTCTTTCTTGCAATACTTGTTTTACAATCCTTGATCTCCTTGTGATTACCTTTCCATCTTAAGTCACTCTGCCCTTCTCCACTTGGTCCCAAAGATAACTAGCTCCCAGTCTTCCTTACACCCTCATTCCCCCTGCCCCCCCCCCCCCCCCCCCACACACACACACATCCTTTCTGTTCCCTTAAAACCCCAGGGGATAATGCAGTCCTCATTTGTTTTCCTAAAAAAGTAAAAATAAATATTAAACAGGGAGACTTCTCGGACTCCTAAAGGCTTCTCCTTCTAAGGATGCAGAGGCCTCCTCAGTGCTCCCCTAGCATGATGCCTATACAGTCTACTTCCTCTGGACTGTAAATAACTTGAAGGTGGGAACATGCAATCTTCTCCAGCACCATACCAGGTACAGGATAGGCTATCAATAAAGAGATGTCACCGGCCACACTTTCATTGTGTTCCTTCTGTCCCAGCAGCCAGTCTAGCTGCGTGTGCTTCCTCTTTATTGGGACAACTGAGTTTGCATTTGTTGATCCCCAATGCCTCCTCTGCCCTGCTGTCCACTGGCAGTACTGCTGTTACACATGTAGCAGAATTTAAAAACATATCTGAGGAAGACACTGGCTGCTCACATCGCCAGAGAAAATGTCCTCTTCCCATGAATGACAGAGGACGGGTAACCCTGTTCTGTCCTTGCACTAAGTAGTTTCACACACCCCCTTTCTGCCCACACAAAATCTCAAGTCAGGTTGCTTAATTTACCAGGACTAGGTGGAGCTCACCAAGATCCATACAACCAGTTTCATTCCTCAAGAAAATCAGCAATGATTTAAATCCTCACTCCCAATATACATCCAAAGCCAATCCAGGAATTTCTGCTCTATTCAAACACATTAAATTTCTCTGTTTTCTGTGACTGAAATATTATAAAGTCCAAGTTCAAACATACTGGATACATGGGACTCTCCACCAATCCTTGTGCAGAAATCCAACTCTGAATTGTTCCTTGAAAGGGGCCTTTCCTAGGAGGCAGAGATTCTATTTCCTGGGCTTGTCTTAAACAAACTAGTGCTATCTAGTTCTTTTCTTTTACTGTCTTTCCCCTCCACCCTGTCCCAATTTCCCAGTTTCCATTAATAGCCTACAGCTGCAAGTCGCCAATGCCTGAGGCCAGTGAAAAGGCGCCAAGCTAGGCATTCTACTCCGGTGTGTCCATTTGATTCTCGGTCTCTCTGAAACTTCTCCCTTCACATGACACACTGATCGTGTAGGAGCCCTGCTTCTCTCTTTCTAATGTGCAGGACTCATGGGTGTTCCCATTACCCAAGCTTTGGGACAGGTCAGTCCTCAAACTACTCTCTAGAACAGGAGTGGAGAATGTCCAGCCCCATGGGCTGTTTAAGGCCCAGGAAATCATTTGATCTGGCCCTACCCAGGCATTAAGGGTAAGTTAAATGTTTGACCAAATATAGTAGGTCAATCTTTAAGTTGATAATTTTGCTTGGCCTCCAAACGGTATTATAAATATCCAAATAGCCCTTGGCAGAAAAAGGTTCCCCACCCCTGCTCTAGAAAGGTCTCTTCTTTTCCCCGCCCCCCCCCCCCAAAAAAAAGATAATTCAATCAATTGGCTAATGGACAACTAAAGAAACAAGTCATATCTTTACATCAGCCTATTCTGGAATAAATTTCCAATTAAAAATTTGCAAAATCCCCACACCAAGTTAGCAAAAAATATTTGCAACATGTGCCAAAAATAACACATTCTTACAGATCATTTTGAAAAAAGCTAATACTTCAAAGAAAATAGATTAACAGAAAACATTAAATGCTCAACAAGCATTAAGAAAACAATTACCTGCAATCAAATAAATGAAAATTGAACACCACTTTTCACTTACCAAATTAGCAAAATGTAAGGAATAACCAGAAACTGGGTGTTTGTAACCAGGTATGCTAGCTAGCTTCTTTCTGGAGGCTGGGCAGTATTTTTTTTAATGCTTTTATTCATTTCAGAGACAGGAAGGGAGAGGGGAGAAAAATATCAATGAAAATCGATTGACTGCTTCTTGCACACCCCCTACTGGGGATTGAGCCTGCAACCCAGGCATGTGCCCTGACCTCCTGGTTTATCAGTCGATGTTTAACCAGACACAAAGGCCAGGCTGGGCAATATTTTTTAAAATTTGAATACACAACTCCACTCCTACAAATGTAGACTAAAGAACAGATTTTATCAATAACAAATTGAATAAGACTTATCACAGCATTGATTAAACCAGAAGGGCCTGTTAGTAGGAACTTGGCTAAATCATCTATACAAAACCATTACCCCTATTTCATTATGCTCTGAATAAGAAAAAATGCTAACTAAACTAAAATGCCTCAATTTCTATGGTGCACGAGCCCCTAACCCTCTGAAATGCCTGAAATTGGAATGGATCTTAGAATTGAAAAGCATACTATGCAATCTTTCAAAAAGTGTAACAATATTTGACATAGAAATGGTCAGCTACAAAAAAATGAACAGAATGATCACATCATCTTTATAAATCAATGCAAAAGTTTTTGAAATATACACAAAAATGGTAATAGTGGTTTCTAGCCATAGATTTTTAAATCACACTTCTACATTCTTTTCATTAAATACTCCTTACTCTGGTAATTGGATTTCCCCCCAAAGACCTGACACAAGGGGTCGAGACACTACCAACCATTTTCTTTATGATCTGTATCTCTTTCATCCTCCACCTGACACCTTCACTGACCTTTAGCTCGCCTGTCAGTTGGTAGAAAATTCATTATGACACCCTAGGTGAGAGTGGGGATTGGGGACGTTAAGGTAATAACTGAAGCAATGCATCTTTGAAATACAAAGTTTATATAACAAGCCAAATATTGCCAAATTCCCACTCAACATATAACACAGTATATTCGTTCCTTGGTATCCTCTGTGGTTTGGTTCAGGACCACCCCTGTTCAGATACCAACATTGTTGAATGCTCAAGTCCCTTGTACAATGTCAGCAACAATGTATTTTTTTTTTTTTTTTGGAATACTTTTAATCCTCAGTTGAATCTGTGGATCTGGAACCATGGATAGAGAGGATCATATTCAGTGCATGCTGTTTTTAAGATATGTAACTCAGTTCTCACCATGGCTGGTTTAAGGTAGACCACTATTAAGAAAAAGAAACTGAAACACAATTAGCGAAAGTCACACTAGTACCTAATACAGGACAGTCTAGTTTCAGGGCATAACTTTTAGCTATACAGTTCTTCCTATGCAAATGACTGCTCTACAAACTTACATCAATTGGGGTTAAAACTGATGCCATCTTTGGAGCTGTTTTTACTAAATAACCAAAACCTGGCATTTCCATACTTCCAAAGTCCTAGATCACTCTTGGTTCCTAAGAAATCTACCTTAAAAACAAACAAACAAAACCACACAGGTAAATTTTTAAGTTGACAAACCTGGTACTCCTGAATTTGTTCATTTATCTACCCAGCTAATCTAAATCCTACAAGGCACAGGTAGGCAAAGAAAGGAGAGAACACTCCCAAGAAAATCCAATTATATTAAGAAAATTATAAATGGAAATTTCAAGCTATAAATATCATTAAGCCTTTTAAGTAGAAAAGTAACCAGAGAAATTGTGCTCTTTAGTTATAATAGCTATAACCCCATTGGATTTGGCTACTGCTTTTTTCCCAACACGAAGGCTATTATTTCCTAAGCAAAAAGGAATTAGGACTACATAACTCAATTTTGTTGCTGGTATTATTAAAACATAAATGCCTGTCCTTTATGCTATGGTAACTGGCTGCACATGTTGTTAGTGGTCATTTACTTACAAGGGATTAAGTAGGTTCTGCTGAAATTTCAGTAACATCTCTAAGAAATATACAAACGCATTATTTGCTACAATGGGGTCCCTTTAAGTCAATTGGGGCCACTTTTCAAATTCCACAACTTTAAGGTATTCCATAAAACCCTGGCCTTGTCTAGGAAAGAGAATGTAGGCAAGGTTCAAAATAGCTTTTCCTCCCTTGCCAATTTCAGACATTTTACTACTTATAGGTCATAGGAGCCAAGGAAATACTGTAAAAGCTGTTATAAGATTCTCACAGAGAATAAGCTGTATTGAAAGGCCCTAAATTACCACTGGACAGGCAGGCCCACCCACAAACAAGAAATTTTCACTATATTCAAAAGCTGCAAAAACATTAAAGAAAAATTTGTTCCTTTACTAAAGAAAATCACAATTCACTTGCTAAAATGGCTTACACATCTCCCTGCAAAGTAGGTGAGAATGTGGCCTGTGTTAACGCGAGGATAGTTCTTGTGCTGTACCAAGTCCAAAA